GTATACAGCACAGTGTCCCAGTCATGCGTATACATACATATATTCGTTTTCATATTCTTTTTCATTAAAGATTATTACAAGATATTGAACATAGTTCCCTGTGCTGTATACACTGTGCGTTTCTTTTCCCAAACCGCTTAGGTGGTGGGTGTGAGCTCCTAAAAATTGTGCTGGTTGTTTGCGAGTGTGCCTCTTCTCATGCACCCAGTAATATTAGCTGAGTTCTCTATGTAGAATCCTTGAGGACAGAGCATGAATTTGGGGCCTGTTTTTTCTAGGAATGAATGGGATACAGATGTCAGGTGGTGACGTCTTCTCAGTAAGAGATCCCCAGTTCCCCATAGTTTTCTAACCTCCCTTGATGGCCGTGGAGACTCTTGACATCATCATTCACCAGGGGAAGGAATGAGAGTCCAATCCCCCAGCCACAGGGATATTGCCCTTTATAGAAGCCCCAGTAAGATGTTTATAGGGGTGTCTGTAGGAAACGATTGTTGTTTAGAAGTTAATTGTTGGGCAACTTGACCTTTCTGGAGAAAAGTACCTTGGAAATAAAAATAAAGTGCACCTGAGATTTAAATTCTGGAGTGTCCACTGGTAACAGTGACAAATAGTGCTTTTCACTGAGTGCAATGCTTTGTGGTTTTCAAAGCGTAACTTCGGTCCACCCGGCTGTGTTGTGAAATGAGAGTAGTGTTCACCCCGTTTTGCAGAAATGAAAACTGAGGCCCAGAGAAGTGATATGACTTGTGGAGGAGGCAGTAAGCTGCAGAGCTCTGTTGGGACCCCATTGTTCTGGGCTCGTGGTCTTCCCACCACTGTAGGATCTCCTTAGCTTGAGGGTTGGTCTTGGGGCTGAGAAGAGCAGATGCCTACTTCTTTCAGACCTTGGGACTTGCTGCAGGATGGTGGCTCTGTGGCAATGCCCAGGTTTTGGAGTCTAGCTTTTGTCTTGGGTAAATCATTAATCTCTCTGACCCTTGGTTTCCCCATTGATAAAATGGAGATGGTAAAACTGGCTTTGCAGGGGTGGGTGAGATAATGCAGGCAAAGTGCCTGACCTAGTAGGTACTAGACAAGTACAGCCCAGTCCCTCTGCTTGCTTGACCTTGTGTACCTGTCCCTGAGGGTTGGTGGCACTTGACCTGGCAACCTACCTGTTACAGCAGCGATAGGGTCTTGCTGTGATGCCACTTCAGGTGGATGCTTCAGTTCACGAAGTTGGCTGAGAAGTAGCTGAGGATCCCATTAAGCAAACTCACTAAATTCAGACCCACCAGAAGGAAATGGCTTCTTAACTCATAACTTCTCTTTCTTTGGAAGGTTATGTGCATTGGCTCCTGGATGCGTAGGAGGCAGAAGCAGCTCCTTTTGTGGGTAAATTGAGAGATAGAGAAAGTGACTTCCTGCCCAGGCTCACCTGACATATCCTTGAGGAAGTTCAGAGTAGAATGAAGTCACTTTCCTCCTGGGCTTCTCCAGACTGATTTTTATCTGGTTCTAACGTCTTTTGTTCTTTTCAGATGGGAGGCAATTGAGTTAAAACTCCAGCTCACTGTTTTGAACTTCAGCCCACACCCCTCCGGCAAAATAATCAGCATTCATGCAGCCCAAGTCAGGGAAAGAGAAGTCTTTGTTTGAATCATCCCACTGTACTTTGGGAATCAGGATAGCACAGAAACTTGGCAAACAAGCTTTTAAGTTAATAGATTTTATTTAATGACACCAAGAGTCTGTCTTCCCATAGCGTGTGCAGGTTTTTTGGTCTCCTCTCCTGGGATCTTTGTGACTCATGTGCCTGAGGGCATGCTGTTGGGAACTGAACCGCCTTCACAGCTGCTCAGCTCAGGGACTATTCTCTAGGGGAGGGGCCAGTTCTTGGATGAAACCTGTCAGGAGTGTAACTCAGTCTGAGGAGCTGAGGACAAATCAGTGTCTGCCCTGCCAGACTCTTAAGTGGGGAACACACCTGTAAGATGTAACTGGTGAGACTTTGAGACATTTTTAATGTCCTCATTTTTGGATACCAAGTGGTGTCCCAAGCATGACCACCATCTTCATCATCTTTTTTTCTTTTCTTTTTTAAACTGTTTGAAGTTCCAGATAACTTCTAGAGATTTCCAAAAGTCATAGTCACCCTTGGAGGACCTCAGAGACCATCACCCATGCCGAAGAGATTCAGAGGAACATCCTCTGAATGTAGCTCTTGCTTCTTGGCCAAGTGGGGTAGCTCTGTGCGCCTTGTTCTGTCAGAGAGCCAGGTCAGGGACTGCCAGGCAGTGATTGAGTCTATTGCTTTAGTGGGGAGCCCTGGTGAAGACATACTACCTGTTTGTAGAGGTGACATGGTCCCCTCCCTGGAGCAGACTGAGTTTGGACGTTAGTCCTATCTCCTAATAAGCCAGCTTTCTGTGGTTGAGGCTGAGCAGAGGTCTCTGTAGTCATGGAGAATGGAGTCATCTCTATGTGTTTCTTCCTGACCCTTGCCCCTCAACTGTCCCTCACCGATGTTCAGTTTTGGGGCCACAGCCAGTCCTTTTCTAGCTGAAATCTGTTTATACCTGGCCCTCTAGGTGATGGTGGTACCTCCTTTTCTCACCCACCCAAGGCTGCAGGACAGTCATCTTTCTTCCGGTACTTTTGGCTGGAGGAGCTCCCTGGCCAGCCAAAATCCCAGAAGCTAGTGTGGGGAGGGGACGTGGGGTTAGAATGCAGGAGGGTGATTAAAGTTAGAGTTCAAGACTGGAAGGTGCAGAAATGGCAAAAGTGGCCATCTGCCCTGATTTCCTGGGCCAGTCACAAATCCAGAGAGTCTCTTCTTTGTCCCACGTGGAGGAATGGCATATCTAGTTGATGGAGTATGATGCAGTCATTTAAAATGACATGACTGAGGTTAAAAAACTGGAGAAAATGTTTATATTACAATAAGTTTTTAAAATCAAGATGCAAAATCATAAGCACAGTATGATCACAGTTATATAGAAACAAAAAAGCACCCTGCCCCCTGTGCCCCCAAAACCCAGGCATATAAAAAAGAATGAAAGTAAATATACCAAGTATTAAAAATGATTTTCCTTTAGATAACAGGACTATGGTGTTTTTTTCTTTCCTTTTAGCTTTTTTCCTTACATTTCTCAAGTATTCTATAATAACTCTCTATCAGTGTCTTAAATTGGAACCAATTAAACTTGATAAAATTCCAAACCAATCTTTTTTATTGTTGGACTTTGTGTCCTGCATTTTGGCTTAGAGATACAGCTGCCATAACTGAGATGACCTAAGAACTCTTCTTCCTTGTCTCAACCTCTGGAAATCTGAAAAGTCAGGCAAGACCAGGTTCCAGGAAGACGTTTTGGGCATAGTTCTGCCTGGAGGCAGGTCCTGGACAAGGCAGCCTCTCAGAGTCCCTTCCCACCCCCAGCTGGCGGTTGTCTCTCTGCTGCACAGCCTCTGCCAACAGTGAGCAGGCTCCAAGTGTGGCGACATTCTCTGAGTGGGGAGCAGTAACAGAAGTCTGGCTGGGATGGAGACCGGGGGCGGGGAATCTGGAGTGAGTGCCTGAGCTGATAAGGAGCCAGTGATCTTTCTGCCTGGTGGGACTTGCACCTCCAGCTGCCAAGCATCAGGCAGGGCCCAGCCCCTTGGAAAGCTGGTGCCCACTGCAGCGGTTCTGCTGGTGGCACAGCTCAGAGAGCTACTTCTGCGAAGAACTTCCCTAATGGTGCAGGGTATCTGGGCTCTGTCTTGGGGCGTGGGAAGGATTGCTTATTCCATTGAGCAGTGGTGGTTTTGAAGAAAGCAGCTCATCTTTGAAGTGGAAACCAGGATTTTCCCTCGTAGCACCTCTGTGAAAATGAGCCTGGCGAACGGACATCCAGAGCACATTTTTCTCAGCTGTGTTCTTCCTGGATCCTCCATCTCCATCTCCTCAGGGCCCTGGCCCAGGCCTCCAAATTAGGTTTCCTCCACTCCTCAGGCAAAAAACCTCAGTTTACTGCTGCCTAGATCCTGTTGGGCCATCAGAGCAGCAGACACCCACATTGTTGAACGTTGGAACTTATACTTTGAGGAAGGCTTACAGATCCTGGAGTTAGCAGGGTCTGGGAACCAGGCATCGAGCTGTTCACAGATAGGGACTGGATTTGTGTGGAGTCGTTTGCTGCCGCTGCTGCTTTGAAAGACTCTGGTAAATGCTGGGGTTCTTTGGAGGCAGGTGAGAAGGGTTCTCTACATGTCTGTTAAGTGCCGCACCAGGATGTTCCCAGGGTGCTGGCCCTCCCAGGGCGGGTGGGACTCCTTGGTGGGAAGCATGATGTCACTGGATACTGATGGGGATGCGTCAAGGGGATCTTCACTGGGGACCCAGGCATGCTTCGTTTTTTCCTGCTCTCCAGACATGGCACAAGGGGTTAATCTCTCCGATGGCTCTATTTTGGGGCTAATGGAGTGTTCTTAGAATAGGACTCTTTGTTGAGTAGTCTATTTTGGGAGGCAAGCCCCACTGGCATTTATGTAAGCGATTCTCTCTGTGTATCTGGGGGTGTGGATGTGTGCGCAAGTGATTTCTTGTTACTAAGTATAACCAGCTTCTTTGGGAGCCAGGGAAATGGAGGTGTGTGTGTAAGGAGTATGGATTGCTCTCGCTGAGAAGAGTGGTGTGACTGTGTGTGCCCATCTGATGGGGTATTTGCCACAGACACCCAAGGAAGAGAATAAATGTGGGGACTTTGGGAGAGCAGGCAGGAATGACTGCCTTGGGCCCTTCATGGGGTGTCAGGCTGTGGAGATTGCCCGGCTTTCATGCTCTTGACTCCCTGAAGCACGTGGGTAGGCTGGGCAGCATGCCCCTCCAGCTGCAGTCTGGGATTCAGTGATCTCTAGAAGATCCGACCTGGGTTCTGTAAGGCTCATCAACCAGTTCTAACTGGAAATAAATCAGATTCCACTTCCCATTGCAGCCTGGCCACTTATGCACTGGGTTCTCTTCTGTCTCCCTACAGGCCAAATCCACATATGTCGAAGCAAGAGAGAAACCAAAGACCATCCAGCATGGTCAGTGAAACATCAACGGCTGGGACCACGTCCACCGTGGAGGCCAAGCCTGGCCCCAAGGTGAGCTCTGGGCCACTTGTCCCTACCTTCCCTTCTTCTGTATTTTGTCAGGTCCCTTTGTAGCCAGAGACCCATTTGACCTTCACCAGTTTTGTGAGGGAGTCATGTAACAAGTATTCTCCCCAAATGACAAATCAGGAAATTGAGGCCTTTTGCGGTTATGTCACTTGTGCAAGAAGCCAGGTGATTGCTCACGGAAACTGGATTGACATCTAGGGCCTTGGACACAGTCTTCATTTTCCCGGCATGTCTTGGGAGGGCCACACCTCTGTGCACATGCGGTGAGATTCATGACAGAGGGGCCCAGAGGTTTCTGTGCCCAAGATGTGGAATTACTGACTGAGGAGCAGGGAAGAGAACCAGCAATGTGGAGAAGGGAAGAATGCTGAGGACCGAACCAGATAGGAGGGGTAAATACCTGGAAATTGACAAAATCAGTGACCAAAAGGTAGCATTGCTCCAGAAAGCCATAGGACATATTAGGGCCAGGAGCTGCTGGTGAAAGTTGATTGAAAAACCCCTGTACGTTTTTTTTTTTTTCTCTCTGTGATCCAGACAGGAAGTCTGCTAGCTCTTGGACTTACCTTTTAATTAGAATGCTGTGGCCACATGCACACCCATTCTCCGTCTTCTTGCTGTCCTTTTGATCAAAGGGCACTATGGCTTAGATGAAGGCACAGGGAGCCGGCAGCCCTTGTGTCATGCAGGTGCTTTTTGGGGCCTCCCTAAATCCCCCCCCTGCTTCTAGAGTTCACGTCTGCTCTTTTCCTAGATCTTAAAGTCCAGCAATAAAGTGCACAGCTTTGGAAAGAGGGACCAGGCCATTCGGAGGAACCCCAATGTTCCGGTGGTGGTGAGGGGCTGGCTGCACAAGCAGGTGAGGAGACTGAGGAAGGAGGGTGGCAGGGAGATTGCCAGTTTCTTTCCTTACCCTGACCCCTGGGAGCTGGGAACAGGCTCTTAATAAGCTTTCTGTTCCTGAGTTTGTCTGAGGCCTGTAGATTTCACCCATCGTGCTCAGTGATTTGCTGTTCCTTTTTGTGAGTGGACAGTCTGCTCAATGGCTGCAGCTTCCTTCCCCAAACCACTTAATCGCTTTGGTTCCCAGTGCTGTTGGCTGTCCTGGGACCCAGGCCTGAGTGTGGGTGGGTCAGCTTGAATCCAACCTTACTGCCAATCCTCTGCCAGCACTTCTCTTCCTGATTTAAAGAGCCTTTGCTATCATTTGGCTGAAAAAAATTCCGTCTTTTTCTTTCCCCCAGTGTAGCAAACATATCTAGCTCCCTAGCACCTCAGATTCCAAATCAGCCAAACTCAGTTGATTATCTCCTCACCCCTTACCTGCCTTTTTCCCCCAGCCTACTTTTTCTGGATCTTGGTGGTGATACCACCATTCTCCCAGGCACCTAGGTTAGACACCACAGCACCATCACCAGGTCCTCGTTCTCCCACATCCATTTGGTCAGGAAGCCCTGTCAGCTCCATCTCCCTTCCCTCCAGGCCATCCTTCATCTCCAGCCTCACACCAGTTGTTCTGCCTCTGATCCTCTGGCCATAGATAGGCTGTGAGCTCCAGGGCCAGAGAACACATCCCTTTTGTCTCCTTCCTTCCCTTCTTGCCATCCATCCATTCACCCACCCACGCACCAAGTGTCTCCATGTTCTAAGTGCTTTCACAGGATCTATAAAGAGCAATGTATGCTTCCTGCCCTTGAGGACTCATGTCATAGTCTACGGGGGGAAACAGATACGGACCTCTCCCGCGTCATGTCATCACCCAGCACAGTCTCTCACATATCATATTATCCAAAAAACCACAAATTCAGAGAGAAGTGATGTAAATTTTTGCTGAAGTCTTCATGGGAAGACAGAAGAGGGCATTTCTTTGTATACTGCACAGAAGAAATTCCTAAAAGTTCCCTTGAAATCTCTCCCCTGGTTCTGTTCCCAATGGCAGCTACCACAGCTCCCCAGCCTCTTCTGGCAGACACTCGTCTGGCACCCCACCTCTCTCAGTAATACCCCCTTCCCTGACGGCTCAGTCTCATTCTTTCTTAGCTCTGCCCATCTCTTTTCTTATCTAAGTAATCTAACCCTCTGACTTCTTCTGTTTGTATCCCTGTCCCCATTAAACAAAAGGATGCTCCTTTGAAATGTGGAGGGAGAGGGAAGGGATTGTGAATAATTCTTCTCCCCAACCACCACCCCCTTGCCCAGGCCCTTTGGCTGTGCTGTCACTGTAACAGAGGTCTGTGTGGAGTGCTGTGGACACACAGCAGAATGTACTGTGCTTGTGAAGTGACATTTGAACCAAGTATGAAAGGATGGAGAAGAGCTTTCCAAACAAAACAAATATCATATACCAAGACGTTAGAGACCACCCGGTTAATGCAAAAGATAAAACCAAGAAATGCATGAACTCAACAAATTAAATTTGTTTTTAGCACTTTAGTAAGTGGAGAATGAACAAAATTTTTTAAAAATTTAAGCCTGTCAGAAACTTTTGCAGAAGGAAGACAATTTTAACAGCTAAAAGTGGCTCTGGAATTTTCCTAGGCTTGGGAGAAAAGTGACCCTAAAACACTACTGTTTTCCTACCCTAGCCATATTTTAAAAAATCTTTTGCAATCACCTAAAATGTTTTCAGTAAATGTAATGATTTATATTTTAGGTGAGTAAAGACAGAGTCTTGTTATGGTAACAAGAAAATCCAGGTTTTTTTCTGTGGGTGGAGGAAAACAGGACCAGTCCCTGGTGGTAGAGAACTGAACTTGCTGAGACGAGAACTTCGCCTCACTGATTAATTAGCTAACTTAAACTCTTCGTTCCATACTGTGTGAATCAATTTTTTAATCAGTACAAGTGAAGGTACTCCACAGCACAGTACCTGAACAAATAGGTTAACTAAGTAAATAAATAAATAACTTGCTTTTTGTTAAAGGCTGATTTCTTTCTAAATGGAAGAACTGTATTTTTTTTCACATTTTTTATTGAGTTATAGTCATTTTACAATGTGTCAAATTCCAGTGTAGAGCACAATTTTTCAGTTATACATGAACATACATATATTCATTGTCACATGGAAGAACTGTATTTTTGAATTCATTTCTTCCTTTCTAAAAGAAGGATGCTTATGATCTATTAATCTGTTTCCAGGAAACAAAACTTCCTGGAGATAAACCATCACTGGATCTAAGTTTTAATGTCCTACCCAAAGAATAGCTATGCAATAAAATATTATTCATTTATTTAAAGAAAGAATGTATGTGGGCAAGTGTTGGTTCCAGAATCAGGTTTTACATGACTGGGGAAGGGGAACACTGTGCTCAGATATTGCCCTGATTAGTTTTCTTTGCTTTGCAGGACAGTTCTGGGATGAGGCTATGGAAAAGGAGGTGGTTTGTGCTTGCTGATTATTGCTTATTTTACTATAAAGGTGAGCTGAAGCTCGGGCCACCAGGGCTCTTTGTGTTGGAGGGGGTGGTGAGGTGATGCAAGTGGTGGTCTTCTCAAAAATCAGCGATTGGACCAGCGGCCTGAGCTAATTAATAACCCGTTAAGCTGACAAAGTGTTCACTTTTACATTCATGGATGATTGGTGACTTCATTTTTACCAGTCCCAGTACTGGAAGTACCTTTTTTTTTTTTTTGAGTTGAAATAATAGAATCTGGCTTGCCTATTACTTAACGGTCTCAAGATCTGGAGTTTTTCCAGCTTCTGCCCCGCCTTGGGGCATAGGCATGCCTTTGATGAAATCTAGAGAGCTAGAAGTGTAAGTGAACCACTGTATTTTGTAAACTGTTATCTGGATTTATCCCCTGTTATTGGATGGGTAACTGGTGAATGGCCATATGAACATTTGTGAAGCCCCAGTGCATAGAATTAGGGGTTGTGCAAAGGTGAGAAGAAAGTAAGTCTCAAAATACAGAGGAAGAGATAGCCTACTTTTAAGATAAGACTAGGGGGTGATAGGTGCGTTAGAAGATATCCAAAATGCTTAGGTAGTTCAGGGGGAGTGAGAAGTTAATCCCATATTGGAGAATTGGGGGAGGCTTCTTAGAAGTGATAGGGTTTGAGTTGGGCTTTTAAGGTTGGATAGAGCTTTGCCCGTGTGCAGGGGGAAGATGGGCATTCAAGCAGAAGAAACAACATGATTCAAGTTGTAGAATCCGAAGAAGTGGAATGACAGACTTGCAAGGCTAGAGTGAGACTTGCATGGAGCATATACTGGGAGATGAGGCCCAGGAGGTAGGTCAGGACCAAAATGCAAGAGGGCTGTGACCCTAGGCAGAGGATGTTGGGCTAAATTCTGTATTCAGTGGACAGTCAGCAAGCGCCTCTGAGCAGGAGAGCAATGCGACCAACTCTGTCATGAGGAAGTCAGTTACCTCTGGTAATGAAGATGGTTTGGGGGAGGAAGAGAATAGACGTGGAAGGTAGGATATGTCACACCTGCTCTAACTTTGCCTGTGAGGTTTGCCCCACCCAGATGTCCCTATCCCATCCTTTACAACACTTCAAATATCACCTTCTGAAGCCTTCTCAACTTCTGCAGACTCTATACTGCTCCTCCCTCTGTGTTCCCGCAGCACTTGGTATGCTGCTGTATTTCAGGAGTTAGCAGGTGGGGCTGAGCGTGTTTACATGCCTGTCCCCGTCCTCAGGGGTGGGGCCTGTCTGATGCGCCTGTGTAGTTCCAGCATTAGCACAAATGTCCCTGGAGCACCCGCCTAGACCATCAGTGATTGCAGTCATCCTGGGAGAGATGGGGAGCCCTGAATTGGGCAGTGGATGCGCCAGCCCAAGGGAAGTGCCACAGAAGGTTATTCTGATGTGTTTTTGCATTCAAAGACAGCCGAGAAGAAGTGGTCCTTGGGAGCATCCCTCTGCCCAGCTACGTGATCTCGCCGGTGACCCCTGAGGACCGCATCAGTCGCAAGTATTCCTTTAAGGTACTGCGCCCTCTCTGCTAATGCAGCACTTCCGTCCTAAGAAACGTCGTGTTCCCAAAAAATGGCTTCACAAAAGGGGCCAGAATTTAGGAAATTGAGCGTTTCAAACTCATGTTAAACAAGAATAATATCACATCACAAGTGCTTTCACTTGTATCTGAGCTTTTGCCCCAGCCTTACTGATGTATTTAGACCCCTCTTTTCCTATCGCTGTTCATCCTGTGGTTACATATCGAGCATGGCCCTTCTCATGTTTTCTTATCACTGTCTCCATCCCTGGTGAGTCCAGAGTTGCTGTGGGTTGAAGATTCTAGATCCTCCTTCACGTCACGTTGCATGAAACGGTATTGCCTTGTGTCTGTAAAACCTTTTATGATCAAGAAGTGCTTTTATCCGTGTTACCTCGTTTGATGCTTGTGGGGAGCCTGTGAGGTCAATATAATTACCTTCATTTTAAAAATTAGCAACATGAGGATCAAAGAGGTAAAGAAACTTGCCCAAAGTCCCCACACTGGAAGCTGCTAGAGGCAGAGCTGCACCCTGAACTCCATCCCCTTCTGACGATGTTACAGGGAGGGAGGACGATGTCTATCTCTTCCTCTGCTTTTTCTTCCACGTCTTATTCCGGTCACCTCCACACGCATTGCAGGAGGTGAGAGGTGGTTTGCATTAATGTTTATTGGTATCATTTTAGGAATATTCTTCTGTTTAATAGTTCAGGAGCCTCTCCTGCTTGTTGCTGGCTCTGAAAATGTTTACTTTGATGAATTTCAGACTGGTTTTTTGCAGCCTGAAAGTCTTTCTCAAAAAACCTTCCTTTCTAGGATTGAGCATTGCTACTGGGCAAACAGTTGGGGTAATGATGCTGTCTGTGATTTTTTGGGCAGCAGCATTTGGAATATCCCCAAAGTAACTGATTATAGTAACTATATATATTTCATCTTAACACTTCATTGGATAGTGTGAAAATAGATTCTAGGAAAACATCTTTTATGTGTCATAGATTCTTTTCTTTCCAAAAAAAATTTTTTTTTTAGAAAGACTTCACCGAGAGTGTTCCCTAAATCTTTTGTCTGGGAGACAGAAGGCATTCACGTTTGGGGGGAGTCATTGGGGTCTTGAGAGTCTGAGAGCAGAGAAAAGCTACTACAGAGAGATCTGGTGATGCTCAGCTGGTTCTCCAGTAAGGGCTGTGGTTTCCTAAGTGTGGAACAGTTCTCTTTCCCTTTGGGTTGCAGCACCATCATTTTATGGACCAGAGGATGGGCCCTGGGGCAGTTCAGGATCTGTGTTCTTGGGTACACTGAGGAGTGTGGACTGTTCCGTGTCCTAGGCCTTATAGTTGCCTCTGCTGTCAGTTCTTTTCTATTTCCAGAGCTGAAATTCTCTGACTGTTGCTAGGGCGCCTTGCCTGAGATTGTTCAGTGGGTGTGTCTTCTCCAACTGTGCTCGCAGCCTGGAAGCCTCCAGGCATTGCCAGGGAGCTAGGGTGCTACATGGACCCTGAGGCTCTGCCAGGTCTGCAGGGTGGGCCAGGCAGGGCTGAGGGTAGCCTCCAGGAGTCACTGTGCACCCCCCAACCAGCCGGCCTTTCGTGCTCTGCAGGGTCCCCAACAGAGCTCCTACTGGATCCACAGTTTCCCTTGGCCTGTGGATCCAGTAGGAGCCCCTCAGATCCAGGACCTGGAGCAGAAGACATCCCCATGCAGCCAAGGGTCTAAGAGTCTTCAGTGGAGAAGAGCCTTTGCTGCCTCCCTTTTAGCTGTTCTCCCTCCCTCAAGTCCAAGGCTAAGGGTTTGTGACCTGAGCTCTACAGACCCCTGAGTAGATGAATCACATCTTCCTTTTTTTAACCTTTACGTGTCGATGAATAAATCGTATCTTTCTTCTTCATAACCCATAACATTTCCTTTGATTAAGAAAGCAGGCACCAGCAGGTAGTGGCAGCACCTGTGCTTGGTCACCAATAGAAACCAGAGCTATCCTTATATCACATTACAGTCAGAAATACCTTGAAATACCATTTATGCTCATCACCACTTTGCGATTATAATAATTATTATATCTGTCACTAGATTTTATGTGCAATACATTATTAAAGAGGCATTTGTATCACTATATCACAACATTAAAACATATTTTGATAACTGTGTTTCAATATAATGTATTTCCTTTGTTTTACTTGTACACTTAAAAACATTCTAAGAAGAGTTCATAGGAGTCACCGTACTGTCCAAAGGGTTGATGCCATGAAAAGGTTAGGACCCGCTGCTTTAGATTCCGGGTGAATGCCAGCCAAAAGACAGGGTTTTTTTTTACTTACGTCTGTTCAGCAAATGTTTATTGTGCTCTGTTGTTGTGCTTGGCTGGATATAGATGCATATAGATGCTGGGGACACACCAATGAAAAGGACAGAGTCCTTACCTTTGTCTGCATCGGCATGGAGGTTATTAGGGGATAAGAAGAGAACAGGAAAGAGCTGTCTTTTCCTCTACCATTTCGATTTTGTGCTTTGTGTACTTCTCACATCTCTCTCCTTTCCACTGCTGCTGTCGCCCTTCCGTCTTGGCTGCCGTCGCCCTTCCGCTAGATAACTAGCTCACTGCTGGACCCGCGCCGAGCACGTAGTAAGCACCCTGGGCGCTGGCCGTCCCTGCTTCAGCCTACAAACTCCTCTGCAGCCGCTAGTATCCTTCACACTGTTCCTACATTGCACACCTGCTTAGGTTGTACACCCACCATCCACCCTTCAGTGGCTCTCCACTGCCTTCAGGATAAAGCCCAGTCTTGGCTTGGAAGTCCCAGCTTATCTCTCCAGCCACATTTTAAGCTCCCTGCCTTTCCCACTTCCATCGTATACCTTCCCTCTAGCCATATACAGTTGCCTAAAGGTCCAGGACATTTCTTTCCCCCTAGGTCTTTGCTTACGCTTCAGTCACAACCTGGAATACCTTTCCCAACTCCAGGAAGCCTTCCCTGAGCCCTCTGGACAGGTTGGGTGCCTTTCTTCTGAACATCCATGGAGCTGGTATCACTGCACTATAAATACTTGGTTACGCATGCAGAGCTCTCTCTGGGAAAACTAGTCATTAGCCAGTTCTGCCCGAGTGGATGCAGATAGTCCCATTCTGCAAACAGATCACGTGGAGCAGTCATTTGTCATAGGAGTCATGGTCAGTGACAATCCTTCTGCTTCCCAAGTTAAGGTAGGTTCAGGCTTACTTGTATTTCATGGTTAGTCCCCTATAAGTTAGTGATTTGGGGGGAGGGCAGAGAATAGTGTTTTAAAGTTTCCAGAAAGCTCACTCAGTGACCCACCTTAGGTAACTCAAATAAATGCCTATCCTAGAACTCGCTGTGACTGGGCAGGGAGTGTCAGAAATCTTACTGGGTCTTTGTCCAAGGGAACTTTTCCAAGAATTTCTGCTGATTCACAGCAAGGCAGGCACAAGTCCCATCTCATGCTCCTCTTTCTGCCACATCTCCACCTTGCTGAAGGAGGAATCCCTCCTGGGACAGCGTGTGACTGCTTATACATGTCGGGAAGGAAGTCAGGTTTGCTCTGGCTACCGTAGGGACCCTTAGCTGCAGGCCAGGTTCGCCTGGACTCCCTTGGCACCAGGCTGGGTGGATTCAGATATGTGAATGTCAGAAGCAGGCCCGTATTTAATGTCCTTCTTGGACCTGGATGTTAGGGGTGTGAGAGGGGAAGTAGACACTGACAGTTCATCTGGGAGGTTTCATCCATGACCATTGGTGATTTTGGAAACAAGTCATTTTCCAGATTCTATTTGGTTCTCTCATTTTGCCTTCTCTGACTGTTCCTTGCATGGCGCCTGCCTTTCATTCTGGATCCAGATTATCAGACCAGTGATCTGTATCCTCATACTCATTTCTGGGTAGACCTTGGGAGCATTGTACAGAGAAGCTTGGACTCGGAGTTGGGCAGATGTGGGTGTAAATCCTGGCTCCAGCTTTTCATTCATTCAACAAATATTTATTGGACACCTGCTGTGTGCCAGGCACTGTTCCTGGGGGTGCGGCGGTGTACAAAATAAAATCCTTGCTCTTATGGAGTTTATATTCTGCAAGAAGGAGACAGACGATAAACTAGTGTGTAAAGTAAACAATACAAGGTAGTGGTAAGTGCTGTGAAGAATCTGTGACCAGACATGGAAATCTAGGAAAGTTACCTCATTTCTCAGAGCTCTACTAGCTACTCCTGTAAAACAGAGACTCTGTTCCTATGTATCAAGGCTGTTGGAATTAAAAGGTTAAAGTCACAGAAGTAAGCAAGAGGCACCCTGTAAATCTTCCTCTTTCCACATTACCTTCCCGTGCAGATTTGATGAGCTCTTTCCTTGCAAATGTAAATGACACAAGGGGAGAACTGGTGCTGCCTCTCGTTCGCAGTCCGTCCCAGTTGTTTTTCAGGGGTCATTCCCAGGGCGCATGGAACATGTGAAAGCACCTTGAGGCTTCCTAGTGCATAGTAGGTGTGCCAGGATCTCTGTCAAGTGTTAGACCCATTCAGGTGAGTTTTGTGGTGCTGCTTTGGAGAGACGGAAGAGCAGCATCCCTGATGGGCACGCATCACGTTTCAAGCCGAGGCAGGGAAGACAGTGAATATCTGCACCAGGTCGCCTGCTGTTGCAGCTGATTTTTGAATCAATTCCAGCCATCAGGTGCTTCAGAAGAACTGAAACAGGGATTCCCGAGAGTCTGCCTCTATGGAAGGAAGGCTTTTTAAAAAAAATCTCTTTCTCACCTAAGCCTTGAATTGACTGTGTGCCCCTCCCTAAATGGGAGTGAAATAATAGGGAACAGGTACAGCTGCAGGGCTTCTGCTGTGGGGAACAGACACAGCCGTTCCTGGGCCTGCCTGGCTGCATAAGAAAGGGGAACCCAGCCCATGACGTTTTCCAGGTGTGGAAACAAGCCGGGTGGTGCGTGGGGTTCCCCTCTGGAAGAGGGGAGAACCTGGCTGGGGAGGTCCTGCTTTTTGCTCTTGGGAGTGAAGCGTGTGTTAACCTCTGCGACCTGGGTTTCTGTCTCCTGCTCACAGGCCGTGCACACGGGCATGCGAGCGCTCATCTATAACAGCTCCGCCGGGGGCTCTCAGGCCGAGCAGTCGGGCATGAGGACCTACTACTTCAGCGCCGACACCCAGGAGGACATGAACGCTTGGGTCAGGGCTATGAACCAGGCTGCACAGGTGCTGTCTCGGTCATCACTGAAGAGGTCAGTCCCCGTGGAGGGTCCCTGCCAGAGCACTTCCTACACAGGAGGGGGACCCAAATAAGAACTCTTGGTTGGGTGCCCAAAATTCCACCGTTCACTCACACATACTAAGCATTACCCTCTCGTGGAAGTCCTTTTTAATGATGAATTCTGGGAGGAGGATGCATAAACGGCCAGCACATGCTGCAGGCAGAGCTGGGAGGTACCCTGGAAATGATGTAGTCCACTGTCCTCACTGAACAGAGAAACAGGGGGTGCTGGGGGGGGGTGGGGGGGAGACTTCTTGGATACTCAGCCTTGGAACCTGGTTGTGTGTTTCTCAGGTTTTCTTCTCTTGTGTGTGGTGGAAGGGACAACCTTGGGGCACAAGACTAGGGAGGAGGGAGCGGATGGGCAAGAACGGTCTTGCAAACTGGAAATGTGCCACCAACCGCCCACCTTGTTGAGAGCTGACCTGGGAGCTGTCTTCCTGCTGCCCCTTCCCTCAAGCGGGCCAGTCAATGGTACCATCAGGGATCTTGAAGTTTTGGAGTCTACTGGCCATGGGTGATTCCCAGAGAGAAAGCAGAGGAGGAACATGAGTGGAGTCAGGCTCGAAGAGCATAGGGTAGCCCTGGAAAAGCCAGGGTACCGTTAGCCAGTCCTCATCTGACGTGAGCCCCGTTCTTCACTGTCCGGACACCTTGCTCTGCCTGGAGGCCTCTTTGACAAAAGTCTGTTAGTGATTCCTCAAGACAAAAGAGTAGCATTCTCCAGCAACCTAAAGGCAGGATTTTTCAGTGACTGCAAATGGATATCATGTGGTGTTTTCATCTTGTCCACCTTTTCCAAATCGTGTATGTGATTTTTGGTATTAGTGGTACTTCCTAGCTTCATGCCCTCTTTCTTGAGGCGAACAGACCTTTAATATGGAGAGTGATCCCTTCAAGAGGCCAGGTGGGGGGCAGGCACTGCCCTTGGAGCTTCCTTAACCCCACGGCTAAGGAAGCACCTTTTACGCTGTTTTTCTTCCCCCTTCTGTCTACTTTTCAGTATCCTAGGCTTCAGGGCAAGGATCGTCTTTGTATCTTCTGCACGCCTGACACATAGTAGGCCTTCATGTGTCTGTTCAGTGAGTGAGAGCTTGGAAGATTGAATGAACATGTTGGATAGGACAGGACCAAAGACTGTCCTGGAAGTTTTCAGTGGGCTCTGAATCAGTAACTAAACCAGGTATTCAGTCAGTTTGCCTCTACCGCCTAGCATCGTCATCCAGCCTGAATTTTTGTTGTGTCCATGATGACGATACGAAAGGCTGTGCTGTTGGCCTGCGGGCAGTCTGTTCAGAGGGACGCTGGCATGTCCATCACCCTCCCGGGAGAAGGAAACCGAGCAGGCTTGCCACATCTTCCTCCTAGAGCACGTGCTGGTCCCTCAAGCTCACTGTTTCCTAGTCTTTGTTTTTCATTCTTTAAAAAATTGTATACATTTAGTGATATAATAAGTGAAGACGTTCTTCTTATAAAAAGTGCAAAAAGTAGAGACAGAAATATCCTTACTAACCTTCTTAGGGTTTCCTTTATTACTAGGTTAATAGAGATCCTTTTAAACTATTTTCTATTCATTTATGTGCATATGTGTGCTTATAGAAATATAGAGGGTTACTTTTTGTTTTTTTTAACTTTTTTTTATTGAGTTATAGTCATTTTACAATGTTGTGTCAAATTCCAGTGTAGAGCACAATTTTTCATACATATATTCATTGTCACATTTTTTTTCACTGTGAGCTACCGCAAGATCTTGTGTATATTTCCCTGTGCTATACCGTATAAGGGTTATTTTGGTTTTTTTAATAGCATGAATGATATTGATCTTGAAAACCGTCCTGTATCAGTATATATGGGCTGATACTATTTTTGACTGTTGTATGGTATTTTGTAGTGTAGATGTACCATAATATATTTAAGCATGTGCCACACCTTAGATAGTTTATTTTTTTGTCCTTTTTTTACTGTTATAAATAGTCATATAATGAAAAACCGTCTATAAACCTCTGCATGTGTGAGGCTTTCAGATTGCTGGGTCAATATACAGTGCATTATTAATTTTAATCAATACCACCAAACCGCCCTTTAAAGAAAGTTGTATATTTCACTGGTGAGTGTACTCATTTCCCCACATCTTTGCCTACAGTTGATGTTATCAGTCTTTTTCATTTTTTGCTGAGCTGCTGTGTAGATGGATGGTATCTGGTTATTTTAATGTGTATTTCTGAGGTGTAGGGAACCTTTTCTATTTATTGGCTGCTTGTATTTTCTCTTCAGTGAATTACTGGTACCTATTCTCTGCCCATTTTTCTATTGAGTTGCTTACTTTTCCTCTGTGCTTCCTTTACTACATGTGCTGAAATCTGCCCAGTCAGGAATGCAGCTTAGCCTCTTGCAGAGGTTGGTGGTAGGTTCTCCGGCTCACCAGTCCTGTGAGTTAAGAGAATCTGTTTTTCCCTTCCTTTGAAAATGAGGATGCTGTTTGTCAGTCTGTAGTATTCCGGCATTTTCTCTGTCCTCTTGGATTCCTCAGAGATCAACTGGGAGGTTTCTTGAGCCCATCTCCAGGGTCCCTGGGGTGCTGACAGCTGGGCTTTTCCCATCTTCCTCCCCGTCTTGGACTTTCAGTCTCTCTTAACCAAGGTTGTTCTCCTGTTCATGGTGAAGGCCAGTCATCTTGGTGAAGATATGGAACTAAATCCAGAAGTTAAAGAATTTGTGCTATGTCATCTTCCCAAGCAGAGATGCCTATGTCTCGAATTTTTTTTTTAAAGCTCTCCCCTCCTTTGTTTTCATTCTTAGAAAATAGAAAGTTTTGGTTTGTTCTGCTTTGATGTAAATAAACAAACCTCAGTTGCTTCTGGACTTCACTCTTTTTTTTTTTTTGGTGGGGGGTGGATTAGGTTTGTTTATTTATTCATTCATTCATTCATTCATTCATTCATTTATTCATTTATTTATTTATTTATAGAGGAGGTAGTGGGGATTGAACCTAGAACCTCATGAACACTAGGCATGCACTTTACCATGAGCTATGCCCTTCCCCCTAGACTTTACCCTTTTTGCCATCGTTCATGTGGGCCCATTCCACTGGATTTGTGCTTGATTTTTGCCCCACATGCACTTCTTGTGTCCTTTTATACTGAGAGTTCTGAGAGCTCCCTGTGTTGTTACACTGGTTTCTTCCGACCAGCAGTGGCAATGGCTTCACTCTTGAGCCCCAGCTTTGCTCAGTTCATCGTGCCTGACGAGTGCACTGGGTCAAAGATAGCTGGAGTATGAGATCAGGCTTAACAGGAAAAAGTGCTCTAATTTATAAGTGGTGTCTACCTTGCAGAATTCAGGATGAACTTGCTAGCCGAGGTTAGGGTTTAAAATTTTTTTTTTACTTCTTCCTACCTGCAGATTTTGTAATTATCAGATTTTGGTTTTAGAGGGACTCCCTCTCTCTTATCCATTGGGCTGCCTTCCCTTTTAGGATCTCAGGCCATTGTACTGTCACTAGCTTTTTTCTGAACTTTTAAAATGTATTCTCACTATGCTCTTAATAATTTCTTAAAATCCTATAATCATCTTTGCCAAAGATCCTTCTTTAAAAAAAAAAAACCAAACAAAAAAACCCAACTTGTTCTACCTTCTGACTCAGACTAAAAGCAGAATAGCATTTCCCTTTTACTTTTTGAGAGATGAAATTATCAACCAAGAAAATCTAGACTTATTAAATGTTCTATTTTTCCGGAATAAGATGTTCAGACATTTGGTTAGTTAGAATTATTCATCAGGCAGGACTGCATCTTGCCTCTCCTCCGTGTTTGAGATCTGCACTGGAAAACCTCCATCTCTGTTACATGGGTGCCCCCCCCATCAACAGTAGCTTTTTGTTCCATCCCTCCCTGATTCTCACCCCAAATCTTCCATCTTTATTCTTACAGACAGATGCTTTCTTTATGGATGTGGTATATTAGGATTTCTGATTGTAGGTAACAGAAAATGAAGACAAATTTACCTTAAAGGGTAGGGGGTACTTACTGATTCATGTCACTGAAAAATTCAGGATAGATCTAGCTTTAGAAACAGTTAGGTTCAAGGTGAAGGCTGTATCATTACATGTCATTCTCTCAGGCTCTGGACTCTGCCCACTTGGGCTGGATTCCTTCTTGAACTCTATGTGGCGGTCCCTGGCAGATCTAGGATCTAGTGGCAAGATAGGTACAGTAGCCCTAGACTCACATCATCCAAGTTCAAGTCCAGCAAGAAAAAGCCAAAGTCTTGTCCAGAAGCTCTGAGATCTATTCTGATCAAACAGTCTCAGGGCCCATTTGTACCTCACATCACATGCCAGGGGATGCGTGTGCTGATTGACACAGGCTTGGGATACCTACTTCCCTTCTGAGAACCAGACCATGGGGACTGAGAGTGAGGTAGGGTAGATTCTCAAGTAACATTAGGGCTGTGGGCAGAGAAAGAAGTGACTTGGTGGGATGTGGTAAAGGGGGTGCAGACAACCAATGTCCAGGACACTTCCTGCTGTATCGACTTATTTTGCCTTAAGCATCTCCTGCCCAGAGTTGAGTTTATGAAGTCAGATGGACCTGGGTTCATGTCCCAGCTCTACTGCTTTCTGGCTGTGTCATTGTGCAATCTAGGTATGCTTTTTAAACCTCAGTTTTGGTTCACAGGGTTGTTGCAAAGATTAAATTAAATGGATGTTCAAAGTGCTTACTTATCATGCCTGAGACATAGTAGGCACTCCATGTCAGGTATGCTAGCTTCCATAAGGATTGGTTTAACAATGTCATTGGTCCTTTTTTCTTTACATCTTCCAGTCTCATCGTTAATCCCCTGGGTTACATTGATGGTGAATCTCCCGTGAGCACATCAGACTGTCTCCCTTGCCGGGGTGTGCCCGTCCCCCAGCAGTGTGCGTGTGGCCCCACAGCCCAGGCTCCTTGCAGCCCCGGCCCCTGGCCTGCT